TGCGTATATACCTGCTCCAGCTCCTAACAGGCTTCTAACTCCACTTACAGCCCGGGTACTTGGCCTTGACTCTGCTAAGGAATTAAAATACATTGATACTAAAGCCCTGTCCTTGCTCCCAGGGCGAGCAATCTGCCGGCCTAGGAAGGGTGACGGGGGGACCGCAAACTGGCCCCTCAAGCTCCATGCACGCGGGCCCACGCTGCGAGCGGAAGGGAGAAGGGTCCTGCTGGAGCTCAGCGAAGGGGAGAGGGTCTGCCAAGAGCAGCTGCTGGAAGCGGTACGCACCTTGGGGCAGGAGGGAGCCAGAGGGAGCAGGGGTGCCTGGGCACGCGCCAGCCCCGCTCCCAGTCCACGCAGCCATAAACAGCACCGTCCCAACCCGCCAGGCCTGGGCCCGTTTACGTTACAGTTACGTGATACGTATGCAGCAGGCGTTCCCATCCGCCCTGCAAGGTACGGCGGCAGCCCGGGACCTGGGGATGGACCAACAACACAGTTGAATGGGAAATAGCTTCCCATCTGTCAAAGCTTTTCACGACTTAAAAAAAAAAAACCCACCCTCCGCGTTCCCATTCTGCATTGAGACGAAGGCCAGGCTGCTCCAACCCCTCTGCGCAAAACCAAAGATGCCAGTCCTGAGTAACAGCAGCCAGCAGAGCAGGCAGGCCCTGCTCGGTGGAAAAAAGGCTGCAAGAGGTGCTGCGCCAGCCACCCAGAGGAACGGCCCCTCCAAACATCGGCCGTCCACGCGGCCTCTCCTCTGCCCCATCCCACGTCTGCGATGTCAGGGCGCTTGCTACCAAGCCTAACATGCCCCTGGAGCAGCTCCACACGCTGCTGCCCGAAGGAACAGGCAAGTTCACAAGTGCCCAGGGAAAGTATAAAAGCATAAAGCAATAAAAATTCATGTTAGCCAACTATGGAGAGGGAAAAGGACCTCAACATTTCAAGTGCTAGCAGGGAACAATTATTCAACGGCAAGAGCCATAATATAGATGCACCCTCGCGCCAGCAAAAGACGCCCATACGATAATTTACGCACCGAAGCAAAACAACTTCTTTCTTCCTTGGCCGGCATCTCCACGTCACGACTCCGTCAAGGTAGCCGTCACCTGAGAGCTATCCTGGCCAAACAGGCCTAACACTTCACGCTGCCAACAGCAGCAAAAGTTGCATGCCCTCGCAGCGCTGAGAGCTACCTGCTCTTTGCAAATCTCTCCCATCCCAAAAGCCTTCCTAAAGCGGGACGGGGTTCTTGGGGTGGTGTTTTTTTTTTTTTTTTTCCTGCAATCCATGGAGCACTCGTACCATTTGTGTCCGCAAGGACAGAAAACTGCTGCAAGGTAGAGCCTCGGCCTTACCCGCACAGGGGTGGAACCTGGGCACTCGAGGACCGCGTTGGTCACCGAGAGAAATCTGGCCACAGGTGCAGCATTGTAGGTGGCATCTTTTATGGAACAATGCGATAAAAAAAGAAGGTAGATACATTTTCCACTTATAGACCATGCCTAACCACAACAGGGCACAACTCTGGAAAAATAAGACCTCACCCAGTTGCACGGGCAGCAAAACAACTGCCTGCTAGCAGACAAATTATATCTGAAAACTCTTTACTGGAGAAGTGGGATCTTTGGTTATCCGGCAAGGACAAGCCCAACCGAGTGAGGGCTCTTCTCCACATAGCTGGGGGACAACAGATGACAACAACCACAGGAAAGAAAAGCAACTGAAACAATATATTCTAGCTAGTCCCAAGGCAATTAGAAACATCTTGGAACAGAAACAAAGCCCTTCTCTGAGCAAAGACTACAAACAGCTACACAAGAATCTCCTGAACAACCCTGTGCTCACCACTGTCCCTCCTGATGCCAGCTACTGGAGATCAGCTTAATTTTTCAGGCTTATTTTTTCGGGTAGAAATACTAACTGCTTCCGAGTTCGCTAAAGCTCCCGCTCTGGGCTACTATGGCGTATCTCCTGCCGCACCTCTCGTTCCTTCGGATGTGACCTCCAGGAATTTAGTGCTGCTGCTTTCATAAACCCGGGCCAAGCAGCACGAATATCCTTATAAAAACACGGGTGAGAACTGAGTGATCCGAATCTCAAAACTGGGACGGGTATAACGCAGAAGAAGGAGAGCACAGATGCGCAGACAGGCCAAGAGCGTCGGTCTAACAATGCTCAGTACAATTTTCCCCACTTCAAATTCCTGAAATACAAACGACAGTGGGAGTTTGATGAATCGGCACAAAAGTAGAATTTGACTCATGAATACCCTGGTCCATATTTGCTGGGGAGAGGAAAAAAAAAAAAAACACTGAAAACCAAACAGGCTTCCTTTATTGCAGGAGGAGTATGGTATTATAATTTCCATTACATGCCGTATAGGAACTTTGCATTAATTCCCATGGCTCTCCAATTCCACAAAGTAAAAGTTTATCTCGTGGCACTTTTCAGCTATAAACCTGACGCGACCCTGATTTGTAACAAAACTTCCAGCTTGCTACTGCTCTGGGTAATAGGTTATTAATAATAAATACTCATGTATTACTCATCTTCGCTTTCATTTTTGGCTTCTTCCTCATGTCTTAAATCAAACGTATGCTTGTCAGTGGTACCAAAAAGCATCCCTGGGCAGTCCCAGCAGTGTGCTGCGCTGATCTTTGCCCCTGCGTGAGAGCAGAGCTGGTGCCTGTCCTAGCAGCAGGGACCACGTGGCCTCACCCACCGGTCTGCCATATATCAACAGGTGGAGCAGCTCACGCGTCCCTGGAAAACGCGAGGAGCGTCCTTCTTTATATACCGCACTCAGGAAACAGGAAGCACGTCCTCAAGTTGCACGCACAACGCCCGGTGGCTCGCTCACCTGGATCGCAGGCCAAAATGCCAGAGCAGCTAGGGCCAGCAGAGCCCAGCTTCGAGGAACCTGGGACCCTCCGGCGGCCGCTCCGGCCTCCCGGGTTTCGCTTTTGAAAAGATTTTGCTCTTTGCTGGTGGCGGGGGAAATCAACTCAGTCGCCCGATTTTGTAATCCTCTCCGCACGGCGCCGTGGGGCAGCTTGCTCTTGACTCAATTTCTCCGCTCCTGTCATTTCGCAGGCCCAGTTCTTTGGCGAAGAGGAATTTTTAAACTCTGCAAAACAATGCCAGCTCCTCCCTTCCTGAGACACATGCTCATTCACTAGCCATGATGTCACAAAGGCCACATGACACTGTTCCATTCTCTGGCTACATAATACCCTCAAAACCCATTCATAAAATCACACTCCTCAGCCCTCACCCGGGGAGCTGGCAATTGCAGAAGCAGGAGCTGGCAAGCGCAGAGTGATCAATACTCCTGCTTGCATCTCCCCCCTGCTCAAAAACAAATGGCTGCTGCTCTGGAAGCTGCTTGGAGACGGGAATCAGCCGTGACTGACTATCTGGACCCCAAGACCCTGGGGAAATCCGTGCCCCAAGGGGTTTGTAGGCAGGGCTCTGCTGGGAGCAAGGCCCGCTGCTGGAGCACGAGGCTGCCCTGCCACCTTCAGTCCCTGCAGGGCAGCACCGTGCCAGCCTGCGTGAAGTCCCCGGTGTCAACCTCTCCAGGGAGCAAAGACCCAAGCTAAACAAAGGCAAAAAAAAAAAAAAAAAAAAGAAAAAACAAAACCTGACAGCAGCTCCCTGCTTGCCAGCTGCCCACCAAGCCCCTGGGCCGAATCAGCGTGGCCCCGGCCAGGCGGGCAGCAAGCCAGCCAGGGACCACGGTGCCACCACCGCGGCCCAGTGAGAGGGCACAGCCAGGGCTCCTCGCCTTGGCCACCTGCGGCCGCGCGGC